GCTTTAGGTGGGCAGCTGGGATGATCTTCATGCCTTGGGTGACCCTGCTAGGAGTGTATACCCTTGGCATACATTCCTGGCATTCTTCACTCATCCCTCCCAGGACCACCCCCTGCCATGATAAGACAGCATAGCAGGACTTGGGGAGGGCAGGGGGGTTGTACTCATAGGGACACTTTGTAATGTCTTCCATAGTCATCATGAAACTTTCATGGTGTTCCTATACATGTTTTGTTCATTGGCAAAAATAAATGCAAGCTTGAAAGGTCTGAAATAATCATTATAGATATGGACGGTTTGTTGCAAAGTGGTTAAGAGTTAATGGTTAATGGTTGGAGTGACTGTTGCCAGAACACAGTGTGTTTCCATTATTAACAACTCATTGATTTATTATAAATTCATACCCTGTCTTTCCTGCTTGGAGATCATTTGAGCAAAGTGAAGTGATACATTTTCCTTCCTTCCTTCCTTCCTTCCTTCCTTCCTTCCTTCCTTCCTTCCTTCCTTCCTTCCTTCCTCCCTCCCTCCCTCCCTCCCTCCCTCCCGAAGGGGGATAGCATTTCATATGCATTACATCTATTGAGTTACTGAACAGCCAAGCTTTACCATGACTTAAATAAACATCTGTGGCTCCTCTGAGCTTCTGATATACCAGTGAAAATGCAGAAGCTAGCCATGATATGAAATGGCAAATCATAAGCAGACTTGCATAGGGGAGCACATCCGAAAATGAATTTTGACCTACCCCCACTTTGCCTGCATGAACCTGATTAGATTTAAAAATGTGTGACAACCCAGCCCATCTCAAATTTGCATGCAACTATTCCAACCCACAGTTGGAGAACTTCTGGGTTAGGAAATTTGTATAGCTCGTATTTGTTTTTTATCTTTCCATTTGTAAACTTTAATAAAACTGTTATAAAAAAAATAAACCGGGCAGAGAATTTAGAGAGCCCTGCTCTAATTTTTCCCTCTAAAGCTGAAATCCTGTCCTGCAGGTTACTGGCTACAGAGGGAAATGCAAATTTTATGATTGGATAACTACATTGGTTCTAAATTATTTTTATGTTTGCTTGTTTGGTCATCTCATCTGTGTGTATTATGGTACACACACAAACCATGTTCTTTTGTTGTTATATATAGTTGTATTTTGGCTCTCTAAAACCCTTGGGTTCCACCTCCCCCCACTTTAAATGGAGTTTATAAGTCTAGCAAATTAAAGAAAATATTCTTCCTAAAAATATTAGGTGGTGTACACAGCTTTGATTTTGCACGTAAAAGAGAAACTGAGGAACTGAGATTAAAAAAAAAACGATTTTTTAAAAAGAAAAAATAGGGATCATTGAGATAGATGCCTGTAACGCCTACCCGCCCACCCATATCCACCCACAGATATACAATTTTCAGGGAATTAAAAAAAAAACACTCATTACATTTACACACCCGTCAACATCGTTACTTCATAACTCCCATTGTGAGACTTTATAAACAACTCTGCAGAAATTTCTCGCAGAAGGATTTTGGATGCGGAGCAATCATAAATGTAAAGATGGGTGCAGGTGTGTGGCAAGGGAGGGAAAGAAGCGGGAATCAACAATCTTCAGATTTGCTTTCAACCAGCCCTCATGATTGCTCCACCTTCCTTTGGAAATGACTTTTGAGAGTTAGCATCAATTCATTTTTAACAATATCAGAACCGAATCTCATTGTCTTTCCAAACCAAATCTACAATCCCAGCTACAATTATATTGTCCAACCACTGTTCAGTGTAGAAATCCAGACCGAAACATCCAGGCTTCTCTTGAACTTACCCAATGAAGGCAAGTCCACCACTTCTCCAAACATTTGCTTCTACTGTCAAATTGCTTTTACTATTGCTTTTGGCAACATTTAAGCAAAATTTGCCTTCCTGTGACTGAAAGCCCTTTCTCTTTGCCCTGACCTCTGGAATGAGAGAGAACAAATTATGACCTTCATAAGGCATCTCTGAAAGTTCTCCTTCACAGAATCACAGAATTATTACTGGAAGATTTTCTAGTCCAACTGCTGGTTCAGTGCAGGATCCACTAGAATGTCTCTGAGAGATGACCATCTGGCCTCTGTTCAAGACCTCTAGTGGGACAGCCTGTTCTTCTGGCTGACAGCTCTTAAGTTCTCTTGAGGAATGCTATGATATCTCTTCCTTGGTTTTCTCTTCTCAAGGCATCTAGGTAACCCTACAACTGGTAGAACTATGTATCTTACTAAGAATGGAAACAAGTATTTGGCTTTTGATGAGTTTTCCTTTTAAAGCCTACATTTGTTTCATGCCTTTTTTGCATCCATTTGAGCATATTTTGATTAAATGTTGTCATGAATCTTTTATGCCCTTTTGTCTGCAGTCCCCTTCATACAGGCTTTTTCAGTACACATTTCCTCATATGCATATTTTATATATAGTTTTTCCTACTATACATGTTTTTGCAAAATATTTCATCTGATACTTGACCTTTCAAATGCAATTTTCTCTAGTGTATCATTGAACGTATTCCCTGATTGAAAAACTACACCACAAAATTCAGAATGGTGTGACAGTTGTAGGAAAATTATATATACCATACTTGCAGTAGTTCAGGAATTTGTTTAGAAGGTATAAAGTAGATCAGTTCATTGTTGTCCAAATAAGATTTTCTCCAAACTCTCCAATGTTCTCACTTACCCTTCCCCAACTCAAATGACCCCCAACATTTGTGGACTTCAATTCCCAGAATTCTCAGCAATTGGGAGTTCTGGAAGAGGAAGTCCACATTCATCTGGAGGTTATTCAGGGTGGAAAGACAATCCTGACTGAGGAATGTGTGTTTGGTCACTTATTTTTTTGAAAGAACTAATATTAGACAAGAAGATGTAAAAAACAATGTTAAAAATGAAATAGGGAAGAAAGCAATATGGACAGAAGGCTTTGAATATTTAGGGTTCCTGTGTCAGATGAGTTCTGAAATCTCTTAAAATTACATAAAAGATCTTTTGAGCTGAAATCTCAAAAATGTGGTGATCTTGAAAGATGTAGGCCATTTAATATTTTCTGTACTTGCTGCACAAGAAACTCCAGGAATATAGAACATGATCAGTGCAACTATGCTGAGTTTCAAAGGAACACTCTGAATTGATGAAGCTTCCATCTCAGCATTTCTTCAAAGCATGTCCTAGATGTTAGCATAACATTAATGGTGCTGTGTAACTTTGATCCAAGATGATTAAAAGGGGCTTTGGTACATATGAGCACATGTTCCACAGCCCCCTTTTCTCCAGAATATAGAGATGAGTCACATTGAATGTCCACATCCATTTGAAGCGCCCAAATAAAGTAATCTGATTTTTCTAACTGAAATGTCACTGTGAACTGGATCACTTTGAGGATCTGAGAAAGTGATATATCTAACCTGATCACAGCGACTGACATTGGAAAGGGCTTTTAAATGTAGCTCTGAATGCTGGGATCAAGTCAACCACGCTTATAAGGCTGAATTAGATTTGTGGTCGTCATTTCTCACTTACTTCTCATCTTTAAAATACCCTCCTCTTCTTGCTGGAAAGAACTGTCGCTATTCTATTCAGTTAATGCAGTTGGATAAGAATTGAATGGGTTTATTTATTTATTATTGTCCTGAAAAGCAATGTACAGATATTTCCAGGTTTCTTCATAAATAAGACAGAATGATTTTGAGATGAAAACACTATGAATGTGGGAGGAAGTAAAACCAATACAGTTGCTCACCCAGCATCTGAGCTTATTAAGAGTGCTTTTTTCTCATCACACGAGGAACTGTAATTACCCTTCACACCTTCGCAACACACAATACCGTCAGCTCATTTTCTTTGAATTCTTCATTTTGTTCGTCACAATGTCTGTTCCTGCCTGCTGCTCACCAATTCGGGAGAAAAAAACAATCATATATACTGTATATTAGCATGTATCTTTGCATAAATGTTCATAGCATTCACACTTTTTTCCATTTTTCCATAGGAAACTGCATTTGTGCCTGCTTTTAATTTATGCATTCACGTCTGTCTATCTATCATCCATCCATCCATCCATCCATCCATCCATCCATCCATCCATCCATCCATCTCTCTCTTGGATATACATATTTTGTGTATATAATTTGAATTGGGCATTATGTTGGGATTTCTGAAGAGTGCAGATTTTGGCACTTTTTTATTTTTTTTTAATTTCATTGGCAGATCCCAATTGTCTGTATAAAAATTCTGGTGAGCTGAATTTTTCATTCTGCTCTACACATCCCTCTTCTTCCCTACACATTAGAGAAACTTGGGTTCCATACCTGTTAAAGTACCTTTCAACAAATCTTGAATCCCCCCCTCTTCTGGAAATAAAGAAATCATTTTCAATTTAATGTCAATTCATGGATCAAATGGAACTTTTCGAATTTAACTCAGCATCTGTTTTTTATTTGCACACTTAAATGGTTTGAAACGATAAAACGTTTAGACGATGTGCTTTTTCTGCTTTATTTGAGTTGGAGGTTTAGCAGACCAGGGGCACACTGGCACAGCTTCTACAATTGTTTGTTTGGACTGCTTTGGAGGAATTCATCCAGAAATGTAGAGCGACAGTGGTGAAAATGTGGTCAAAAAAACGGAGGAAGGATTCACAGTTTACATGTCATCAGATCAATCCCCCCACGCTGCTCCCACGGGCTCACCATTCCTTTTCCTGCAGCCTGTACGCCTTGCAAACAAAAGCTAAAAACACAGCTTTCTTCCCTGGTCTCCTGAAGCGACGCGGGTGATATTTTGCATCCTGGATTGTCATGTCGAACCGTGGCCGAGTGAGTCACTTAGGACCCCGGAGAGCTCCAGCTTGTGCAGAAACAAAGGCTGGTACCCACTGAGCATGTGCAGAACTGGGTCTGCTCTCTTAAGGCTCGGTTAGTTACTGATATAAACAGCTGGAGGTATTCAAATGCTGAGTTTAGAGACCAAGCAGAGCTGTGAGAGCGGAGATGCGGGAGGATTAGCGCTTCTGTGTACTTACATCGGGCTGGCAGAAGAAGGATTAGTCAAGGGCACCCGAAGATCTGCTTTTCAACGCTGCATTACAGTTTGGGGTTGTCTTTCATGGGATTTGCCAGGGACTTTCTCTCTTCCAGAATCGGAGTTTGGAATATTGTTTGAAAAGGTGAGTGTTTCTTTCCCTTCTTCCTGGCACATGGCAAAGCCTTTGCACATTTCCATCCTTCACTGTCTGACTCGGGACTGGAGAACTTTTCGGGGGCTTCTTCACCACAGTTTTCAGCCATAAGGGATTGCATGTATGCTAGAAGTAAGCATCTCTAAGGAAGGATGACAATCATCTGTGCTGATTCCAATGTGGGGGAAGAACATGACGGTCTCATGAAGGTTGTGGTTAGTGGCTAAGGGTTCATCTCTCCTATGTAGGGCACCAAAGGACCTTTGGAAGGACCAATTGTGTCTGTCTCTGTTACAGAACGATGGTTATCTGGGCATGTTTTGAATAACTGCACATAGAATTGGGTCTTTCTTTTAAGCACCCTTCTCAAGGCACAGCTATATTTTCTAGGACTTTATAAATAGCATCTATTGCTTTTAGGGCTCCATCGCTCAGAGGGTCTTTGGGCATTTTGGAAGCTTTCAACCATCAGGCCTCTTTCCAGATTCATTGGCAACAGTGTTCTCTCATGCTGGAGAAAGCTGTTTCTCTGAAATGAGAGTTATGCAAAGCTTCTTCTAGGGGCTCGCTCTTTAGGAGAGAAACTTACTACTCCATCTCTTAAAATCATATTGGCTTGCAGAATTGGTCACAGGGAAGTCTTTTCATTCTGTTCTGGGCGATCCAAAGGAAGGGCTTATTTGTTTTTGTTTAAACTCAGTTTATATTGCAAGTTTTATAAGAATTCTTCTTTCGCAGCCTTCCTTCCCCTTTTAAATTTTTATGTAAAAGACAATAGAGACTTACACATATGCTCATAAGGATGCCAAACACACACACACACGCATGCACACACTCATATACTAAGGCTCAAGTTTGTTCCTATAGAGATGTATGGCTTCATCTCGTGCCGGACTATATTTTTCAGCCCATAATTTGCAAATGTTGCTATTGACTCAATGGGTCATTGCAAGATTGCCAAAAGGAATCATACAGTTCTACTTTAGATCACTCCAGGAGAGCTGGAAGGAAGGGAAGGAATTCTGTCCTTCCATTTCAATCAATCTCTATCCTTATTTCTCCAGGGTAACAATGATGTTCTTGAAAGTAATTCCAAGAATTCCATTTCCTTCTCCAAACTTATCTTTTCCCATTAAACATTGACTTTGACGAAGGAGCCATGCTAAGTAATAGCAATCTCAAATTGTTGCTGATGGTATTGTTGATGACCAGTGCAGGTTCAATTTGATAGTTTCTCTACAATGCCATGTTTATTTACTGCTTTCCACCATCTCCTTGGGCATCCTTGTAATTTTCTGCATCTCTACTGTTGTATCTGCTTTCCTTTCACTGTTCTGCTCAGCGTATTCTCCAGACAGAAGGTCTGATTGCCCTTTGCCACTTCTGTATCTATTAGGTGCCCTTTAAGTCATAAATGCTTGCCAGCTCATGCAGGTGAAAATCAGCTTCTGATCCTTGCAACATGGAGAAGAGTGCAAATGAGACATGTAGGTCATCAGATGGAGAGGTTGTTGCCCAAGACAAATTGGAAGCAAAGCTTCCTTATAGGAAATAGGTCCATCAATGACTATTCTTCTTAAAGACTCTAGGACATTAAGGATGTAAAAGAAATAATTGCCTATTTCCTTTAGAACAGAGAGATACAATCCACCAGTGCAGTCTGAGTCATAGCACGGCTGGTGGAAATTTACCGAATGTCCTCAAAACTTTTGTACAAAACAATGTGCATTTGAGAAAGATGTAGCCACACATCCCCCCCCCCCAAAAGAAAAAGCCACA